TTTAGTTTATCTCTTCTACTTGATTTTGTTCTCGCTGTTTTAGCAATCTGATGATTTTAATGAATAATGCCAAGTGGAATTTCAAATTATTTCAGTGATTTTTTTCGTGCTAAACACCATTATATATATATATATATATATATATATAAGTATATATATATATATATATATATATATGTATATATATATATATATATATATAATGTAAAACGAACTGGGGACCTGAAAAAATGACGACACTTTTGGTTCAGTTTGTAGTGAGCCAACTTTCTGTGCCAGCGGTCCGGGTTCAAGTCCCGCTGGAGATATTCATTTGTGTGATGAGCACGAATGTTTGTACTCTAGTCATAGGTGTTTATATTTATAATATGCATGTATTTAAAGTTATATATATGTAGTGTATCAACTATCTGGTATCCATAACACAAGCCTCGTAGCTTACCATGGAACTAGATGGTGCTGTGTTTTAATGTCCCAACATATTTAAAAAAAACTCAGTTTGTCGCATTTTCACAATTCTACTTTATCTACGGAGGGTGTTGAAAGGCGGATTTTCGGGGATTTATTCAGACAGGGATATTGGTGCAATAAAAATACCATTCATTGATTTTGTAGAGTCGATATAATGAAAAAGATATATAATTTTGGAAATATATTTAAATTTTTAATTAATTACGTAAAGTTTTAATATAATTTTAATTATGTTGTTGATAAGATATACAACGGTTGGGTCAACAAGGATACCGCTAGGACGCTTCATCGGCGTCATGCCACGAGAGCCGAACATGACTTTGAGTAACGCCCATCGATTGTGAAATAGGCTAGCTTTGACTCATCAGGATAAACAGGGATTTAGAAAATTGGTGCTTAAATTTTACGTAAAAAACATTCATGACATAGTAGAATACTTAACAGGTTTAATGAAATAGATACTTGGTTTTGTGGGCTTTTTCTCTTTCTTTATTTCAGCTTATCTAACACTTACATTTTTTAGTAATAGTTAATACTTTGAGCAGTATTCATTGGCTTCAAGTTATGGTGTTTGGTTGCGACTTTTAATCGCTTAACAAGAAGTCAAGTAAAATATGAATAAAAAATACTTTGAGTGAATAAATTATCATTTTTAAACGACAGAAATAAATATTAATTTTTAAATTACCTTTTGGAAATCTTTACTTACATTAAACTTAACAATAAAATAAAAACATGTCGAATATTTGATAAACATAATATGTATGAACATTTAATATGAAGTTTAATATATAAGACTTGCTACAGAGCAACGGTCTGTGATCGACATATTGCTTATCGATTTTATTGTTAGTGAGAACACGCAGAAAAGATTTTTATTTAAAAGTTTTAATAGGAGTTTAAATAATGTCAATAATAGCTTCCGAGTATAACAATAGGCTTCCGTCCACCGACAGACAGCATTGTCAGTATTCAATGGAAGTCCTCTCAGTGGAAAATGGCTCCTAGAATGATTTGCTTTTGTAAACTTAACAAGTGAGAAATTTCCTTGTAAAATATTACTTAATTGAGTTGCTCTTAGTAAAAATAATTGTGAATACCTAATAACTGTATTATGAAAAATAATATAATTTGAAAGATATATTATTTTTGAAGTTATAGTTCTTTTGGGACGTTTGGGAAAAAAAAGAGAGTAAAATTTTTAAGATGCCCACGCACACCGACAGCTAAAAATGGACATGATGAAGCTAGCTGATAACTGTCGCACCGGTTTATTAATTTACCATTCCTTTTACAGAGTTGTGACATACAGGATGAAATCTTTAGCTATTTTTGTTCTGTAACGCTAAAGCCAAAGTATAACTTCTTACGTGCGTACATAAGTACACACACACGTTTTTTTTCTCTTTAATATCATATTATACGCCCTCATTTTTATTTTCATTATAAAAATCAAATTTTGGTTTTACTATTGGAAAAAAGTAGTTTCTTTTTTTACCTTATTTTCTTCCGAGCATATAAGATTGTTTTAAAAAAAAGACAAAAATGACGGAAAAAGAGGTACAATTAACCTAATATGTTTAACTAATCTATACGTATCTATACATATAATAAAATGGTAACCAAGCCGAATCTGTACATTAAAAATTTTTTGGAAAATCTTATTGAAATAAACATTATTATCGATACAGAGGCCGAGTCTATAGTTTTTAGAATTTTTGTCTGTCTGTCTGCTACCGCATCACGGAAAAATCACTAAACGGATTTTGATGAAATTTGGAATGATGATAGCTGGTTGTCCGGGTCAACATATAGGATAGTTTTTATTGCGGGAAAATATCTCATTTCTGAGAAATCTATACTAAACGTTAAAAAGTAAGTAGGGACGAACCCGAGCGGAGCGAGGGTGAGTCGCTAGTTTTATTTAAAGTTATACTTGCTTACTACTTGCATTACGCTCAAGTGATTTTAAATAAAAACATCATAAATATCATGGGTTGGAATTTTATTAAAAATGTCTCCATATCTTTATGTCTTGTCCTACGGAAAAGCTATGTTTCATTTTTTTTAATTTTGGCTTTGACTAGAGTAGAGCGTAAGTATTTTTTCAATGTCAAGTTATTGTAAAGAAAGCTGAAAAGTAATTGGTCCGTGTTGTAGAAAAATCGGAAAATCAAAACGTGCTGAAATATTATCTAGAATAACTTATGATAAATAATAAAATTCCAAATAAATAGTAGGTCCTTTCGACTACGACATATTAAATTAAAAAATAAATAAAAATAAATAAACATATACCTACATAAGAACATGATCGATATTATCGTTAACACCCACTAGTATATAATTGTTTCTATACAATCTCCTCGAAAACCATTTATAATAGATATGTGACATTTAAAATATTGGACAAACTTGACAGCTGTATAGTTTATGACACGAATATTTCATCTTTTATAAATATAAATAAAATGGCTTTTACATCATATCTTTTAAGACCAGGTAATTATATTATAAATATTTAATGTGTATCCAAACAACACTTACATATAGTTATAGCTTGTAATACGGTATAAGTATAGATATTACGACAGAGCTTGTGTTAAGTTTAACTTTCTAAGCTAGACTTGGCTTAGCTGACTATAATTAATTAGATTACAACCGTCCACAACGTTTCCCAGCCAGGTTCAACCTCATTCACATAATATACGTAAAAACCTTGTGGTTCCACCAAATATTTGCTAAGAATTATTCATTTTTTATTATAAAAATACAATATAAAAAATAAAATTAAAAAGGGTAATAATAGAATTTCATACAATAATAAATAAAAATATTAATTTATTTAACGATAAATCTGTGTTATCTGACTTTTTCGGTTTTAATTATAGCATTTAATATAGAATACTAACGAGCCGCCTTCACTTCACTTAAGCTTTGATGCTTTGACAAGTTTGGTTAACTTTCTACATTTAAAAATTATTAACTACCTTTTTAAATATTACTGTAGATATAGTTTGAGTTTTAGATATATTAATACTTTAATTCTCTAATGACTAGTATTCATGGTTTTATTATCTCTTGAAGTCAATGTTTGTGTAACTCATGCACATGTTTCTAATGCAAAATCCAATCAGGCTTTGTTTTCGCCGTATTTACATTAATCTCTTAATTTTACACTATAAAAGTATTATTCGTTTTAAACTATTACAGTTAATGTTCTAAAGAAGGTTTTTGTATCTATATATGACTAGCATTGCCCGCGGCTCCGCCCGCGTTCATATGACCAAAAACCAAATTCTTAGGTTTTACATATTAGTATACTCTTACAATGCAGTTTTTATATTTTTTTCAGAAATGAAACATTTTCCCGCGGTAAAAAGTATCCTATATATTGACTCGGATAACCAGCTATCACCATACCAAATTTCATGAAAACCCTCCAGTGGTTTTTCTGTGACGCGGTAACAGACAGACAGACAGACAAAAATTCTAAAAACTATAGATTTGGCCTCTATATCGATAATAATGTTTGTTTCAATAAGATTTTCCAAAAAAATATTTAATGTACAGATTCGGCTTAGTTACAATTTTATTATATGTATATATATATAATCTGAACTACCGAACCGATTCTAAAATTCATTCACTGATTACGCTATTCTAGGCAGTAGTTAGTAGTTTTGTATAACAAAATATTTAATTGAAAAAAGAAATGACGGATATTTAGAACGTTTTGATTGGACCGCTCGACCAATACGCTTTTAATATCATACTTCAACGTACTAACAGAGATTTTCAAAAAGAAATGAAACATCAAACGTATTGATACTGTTGAATTTCTTCTCAGGCTTTTATTTTTATAGGGAATATACCATTGATTTTATAGTGAATTTTCATAGTGAATACCAGTTTTTATAACGAAGCGGTTATACATTAATAGCTGGTACACTAGAGAATTAGAATTAAAATTGTATGAAATTCTATTAAACTAATTTATGAAAATAAATAATAAATAAATATATTGGGACATTAACACAGCGCCATCTAGTTCCATGGTAAACTACGAGGCTTGTGTTATGGATACCAGATAGTTGATACACTACACATATATATAACTTTAAATACATACATATTATAAATAAACACCCATGACTGGAGTACAAACATTCGTGCTCATCACACAAATGAATGCTCCCAGCGGGACTCGAACCCGCGACCTCTGGCACAGCAAGTAGGGTCACTACAAACTGAGCCAGTCATGTCGTCGAGAAAGAAAATGTCTATTGATTACTATTATTACTGTTCTCTCTACATCTTCCTATCTTACTAGTGCTCTAAAATCAATCTAAGCTTATATTAGTAATAAAAACGACACAGCCAGAGTGGTTCTATCGCATATTAATGACTTGCTGCTTGAATAGCTGAAATATTAAACTGTATGTTGCTGTTCTCGCAAAAAGCTAAAAGTTAAACCTTTTATAGTTTCAGCAAACATGTTTATATATCGTTATATTCCAAAACTATTAATGGGACCTATTTTAAAACGTTGTACTGTGGCTGATAATCCTGTTTTATTTGGAAATTCAATACAGAGTGGGCCTCTATTAAAACCTGTGAGTATATTTTTGTTTATGTTACTATTTTTTTAATACAGGAGCCAAACTTATATTTTATATTATATTAATATAATAATAATTTTAATATAATATTCTTAAACTTAACCTTTTTATTGAAACTTAGAATAAAAAATTAACTTTGATTTATAATCGAATTCTAAACGATTGTATACCATGCGCTCTCATATAACCTGGGCGTTGTTCAGTAATTGTAAATTAAATTAGGTTTTTTATAAAATAAGCGATCAGAAGTTAATATTAAACCAACGGACTTGGTAGGCAGACTTAGTCCTGATAAAGACCTTATTAGTTCGGAAAATAAAATAATATATATAGCACACCTACCAGGTCCAACTAGAGCTAAGAACTGTCAGGTGACTGCATATGTACACAAAAAAGTTTCCTCAAAAATCGGTCAATCAACTATTTTATAAGGAAAAGAATTACGGACACACACAAAGTGGATTTTTATATTATAAAGTATTATATTTTAGATGAGAAGTTTTTATACCAGCGTGGCATTACGTCAGGAGGAAAAAGCTCACGACCATGCCAGGCTTTGGGTGATAGAAAAAGCGACGTCAGCTCTTCTTGTAGGGCTTATCCCGTTTGGACTCCTTGTACCAAACAAACTGTTTGATACTGTTCTTGCCATACTCATAACTGCACATAGTTATTGGTGAGAATTTCTACACTAATATATAAATCTGCATGTCCGATTCCAAAAGTTTTTATCGCATTTATTAGCTTATTTTACACAATACTTAAAGTCAGCTATATACATATATTGTTTGAATAAAATGTGCGGGTGGAGTTTGAAATTCTCGAAATTTATTTTTATAATTAACTTACAAGGAAAATTTCTTTTAATTTTCTCTATAGAAAGTTGTCTTACAAAGCATTTCTCTTTAACTATTTTGTTATATAAAAAATTCAAAAGTAGGTATTAGGTACTTAAGAAAATTGCTTTATATATTTTATTGCTCTTTGTTCAATTACAAGTGATGTATTCATTCTTGTTTTCATTCTTGATTTTCAATATTTTTTCCAGGGGAATGGAGGCTATTATGGTTGAATACGTTCGTGTTCTATTGTTTGGACGTCTGATACCAAAAATTGCTATTGGGTTTGTATATGTGCTGACTGTTCTAATGCTCGGTGGCCTATTTTATCTTATTTTCAATGATATTGGAATGTGCAGAGCGTTTTGGCGGATATGGAGGAATATGAGGAAACCCATAGGCTTTGCAACAAAACGATGTTAATTAAAAATACTATATAAAACTATCACTTTATAAATGTTTATGAAATAAAATTAAATATATTTTTATTCGTGTCTATAATTACGCTTCAGTCATCTTAAATCTTTTTAAATGTATGTATAAAAAAAACCACTTTTTATATTTTCGATATACTTTTAGGATATTTTACTGTCATATTTCAAAAACTACGAATCACGCATCCAGCAAAGATTTTCAAAGTTAATACGAACAAACAATAGACCGCTTCGTCTTAACTTGGAGTGAGTTTATGTCAGTTCTATGTAGTCAAATAAAAAGAATGAACGATTTATCCTTACCTGTTAAATTGAAAAAGTTACCGAGACCACTGTAAGGGCAGATTTACGTGCACCGGGTGCTGAGTAATATCAAAAAAGTTTATCGCAAACGTTTAACGTTCACTGTGAACGGAAATTTTAATAATTTGAAATGAATTGAAAAATATAACTCCAATATCGTCAGCAGCGTAACGGAAATTTAAAAGAAAATGAATCATGTCACAGAAATCTATAAATTGGTTTTTCGTTCGTCCTAAATTATGTTTTATTTTTTGCTTATATAATATTTTTTTTAACTTAATAATATAATTTGATTTAATAGTACGGTTTTCAAACAAAAATTCATTAAAACTTTCAAGTGAAAAATAATTAAAAATGTTTCACCGTTCTAAACGATTTTAATAATGAATTGTTTCGATCGTTTCTTTAACGTACGCCAAGCGTACGTATTGAACACGAAAAACTTAGGTTTTCGCATTATTAGAGCCTTTTTTATATTTTTTTATTGTGCATAATTAACTTTAAGACATTTTTTTTCTTATTTTCAAAAAATATATATTGGCTAGTTAATAGCCAGTTATAGTATTCGTGCAATGAACGAAAATACTGAGAGCTTTACAAATGTTGATTTAAGTTAGCTCCAGCGTCTATGAGATGCAATGAAAATTAACAGCATTCGAGTTCTTTTTATATATTTATTTTAGTGGAAACGCTTAACTACCTAGTTAAAAAATAATTTAAAATGTTTATAATATAAATATTTTAAATAAATTAAATTTATTACCATAATTTTCTAACTTAGAAATCAAACTTGAGCGAAAACTGCTTTGAGCAAATGAAGAGTAGAAGGTACCGTTTAAACTTTGCGGAAGCAATGAATATATCATAATATTAGATGTTGCCAGCGGCTTTAACTGAAATAATTTTACAAGTAGATATATAATATATTTTTTTATTAAATCTTTTGGGACTTTGTGTTCTAGTGGACTTTTTATACTTATATTTTGCTAACTACTATTAAGGTCTTGCAGTCAATGCATTTTTGTCCAATAAAATTAATTTTGTTGTTTTCTTTAAACAGTATGAAAAAGATTTTTCAATTTTAAATAAAACTATCTTTTCGGATTTTGTCGCGGATTTATTTGTATTTTTGTTTCCCGACGTTTCGAATGCTTTACAGCATCCATGGTCACGGGAGAGACTGAGGTGTTACATGTCTTAAAAGATATAGTTGTTACAGACAGCCTACCCACAATTAACAAAATGAAAATTGCACCAATTACATTACAATATTTTAACTTTAAATATTTTTATAATTTTAATTATAATTGAATATGGAAAATTATTTATTTAATTTTTGCTATTATTTTTATAATTATTACAATTTTAAAAATATTAATTAGCAATCTATTTTTAGTGTTGCCATTATTATATTTATAGCCATAAGAAAAATATAAAATATAGTATTAATTATTTAAGCCACAATTGATCTATGTGTAATTTGAAAAAGTTAAGATTAATTAAAAAATAATAATTTTAATTTTAATTTGCTATTATTTAAAAACAAATTATTAAGCAACACATTACTACATACATTTACAAATGAAAAAGTGAAAAAATATTATTAATCAGAAATGCTATCATTTTGATCTACACAGTAAGAACTTACTACATCTACCTGTCTGTTATGTTTAGATTTATTATTAGATTTTATTATATTAATAACAGGATCCCATGACGATGGTAGTACCCAGCCATCTTCCCTATTGAAATTAGGATGTTTTTTAATTTCTATGGCTTCTCGAATCATTCTAGGGCGATATCGGTTTTCTTTCGCCAGGATTTGAGGCCTATCGAAGCGAATATAATGGCTTGGGCGGTCCTGACTGTGTTTGCAGACAGCAGATGTTGTATTGCGACGGTGCTTCACATCAGCTATGTGTTCTTTGACCCGGGTTCTAATGGATCTCTTTGTTTGTCCGATGTAAGAGAGCCCACAATCACAATCAAGCTTGTAAACTCCTGCATCTTGTTTCCATTTCAGAGATCGTGTGAAAGATATAAATTGTAAGATACTATTGGCATCTCACTTGGGCGTATGTAAGCTTATTCTTGTAATAGATCTTTGTTTCACAGAATGTACTATATGTGTAGCAAGAATCTTTATAAATCCCTGTAAAATTATATAACTTATATAACATGCCTTTATTATTGGAGGATTAGGAAGGTTAATATAATAGGTAAAAGTGTATCGCTACCACAATTGAAGTCTGAAATTTGTAAGAGTCCGGCCGTTGGCAATCTATCACGTTGTGCCATAAGCTGACTGTAATGCCGAATCAAAAGACCCTTTTTTGGCGTCAGCATAGTTTAAATGTTCAAAAAATATAACTATAATACGACTCGAGGGTTTATTGTATTTCAAAATCTAATTTCGTAGAATTTGAAAACGAATTTTGAGGGAGAAATTCATTAATTTTCAATTAATTTAAGTCATAATATACTGCGTACTATTATTTGCTTATTAAATCCATAAAACTAAAAAAAGACATCATGAGGACTGCTGATAGAAGTGAAAATTTAAAACTATAAACAAACAGTTGTTATTTTTGGATATTCAAATTTATTGTTTGATCTGAACTTAAAATTGGTAAATTAATACTGTTTATATTTATCTGGTTTTGACATCTATCGGCACTGAGTGTTAGCGTTAACACGTCACGTGACCATGTCGATGACGACATACAAAAATTTACTCCCCATCCAAACCTGCCTATAGAAGTTTTCACTTCAAAAACGAATAAATTTTATCCTTATTCCTTATGTATCTTAAAAATAGCGTTACAGATCGCAAAATCTAATCAGAATCTAGAATTTTGAATTCATTTGTATATAAAGTTTTTATTTTTCAGCTGAACACAATCACAGTTTGAATGTAGTGTTAAGCTTTCGATCAGAAAAAGAGTGGCTGGCTGGTTTAATATAAGAGATGATAATGTATATTGAAAAGAAATCAACTATGGATGAATAAGCTTTAGCGCTTTCCATACGAACGTTCATAAAATATATGGATACACTGATACAGTATATATAAAAATAGATACTTGTGCGACACAAAAACATATTTATAACAAACAAAACTCAGAGTTGTTGTCTCGTACATACTCGTAGAGACAGGGACTCGCTACACGCAATAAACATAAAACTTAAGTTACTGATGGTATATACCATACAATAAACAAAAAGTAATTAATATTATTATTTTATAAATAATATTATTATAAGGAAGTGGTAGCCCAATGGTAACGCGCTCACTTGGGAAACCGAGTAATGCGGGTTCAAATCCCGGGTCTCGCACCTCTGATATTTTCATGTACGAATCATTTCTAGCATGATTACTACTTGCCTTACGGTGAAGGAAAACATCGTGAGGAAACCTGCATGTCTGAAGGTACTTAGCAAATTTTAGAAAGATAGTGAAGTGCGCCAACCCGCACATGGCCAGCGTGGTGGACTATGGCTTGATCCCTTTCGTATTGAAGGGAGGCCCGTGCCTAGCAGTGGGACGTTAAAAAGGGCTGAATACATACAATTAATATTATTATATATTAATATTTGTTATACTAATAATTAATACCACCTTGATGAATGATTACGTACAATATACATGTGTGTTCAAACCGCAAAATGTCATCAACACTAAATGAACATTACGCGATTACCGTAACGAGAAACATGCTTCAGGCAGACGCGTCCCAGAAATTACATTCACCGTTGACAAGCCTCGCATTAATTAAAGTCAAACAACGCGACCATTCCGCTTAATTCTCTCCTTTATAAACGAAATCAATGATTTCATTCCGCTCAGACAAGATTGCAAGACTTTACAAAGTGCTGACAATGTAAAGGGGAATGATACTTACTGTGTATCAACTTTTACTGGCTAGAATGATTATTTTATTATGGACATATAGTAATACTATCTATTTTTTAAATTATTTCAAATTTTCTCTTATTATATTTGTTTACTAAGAAATATAAGACCGGAGACTAAGCAGTGGACAGTAGTTTTAAGATGATCTATACATATAATAAAATTGTAACTAAGCCGAATCTGTACATTTAATTTTTTTGGAAAATCTTATTGAATTAAACATTATTAGCGATAAAGAGGCCGAATCTATAGTTTTTAGATTTTTTGTCTGTCTGTCTGTTTGTCTGTTACCGCATCACAGGAAAACTACTGGAGGGATTTTGAGGAAATTTGGTATGATGATAACTGGTTACCGGGTCAACATATAGGATACTTTTTACCGCGGGAAAATGTCACATTTCTGAGAAAAAATACAAAAACTACAATGTAAGAGTATACTAATATGTAAAACTAAGAATTTGGTTTTTAGTCATCAGAACGCGAGCGGAGCCGCGGGCAATGCTATTCATCAATAAATTACATACCTCTTACAACTAAGTTAATATTTTATTGATAACAAAAACCATTTTTTTGATATTTATGCGAAACATTCGAGGTGTGAGTTCGAATACACTTTTGATGTGAAAAACGAGTAAAAATGTGAATTTATTTTACACTGCACTCTAACTTCCAATTACGAACTTGGATTAACATTACCAATTAAATTTACGGTCACTCACAATTGTTTTATTATTACAAAGTTATAGAATTAGTGTTTTGTATTTCTTAAT